CACGCATACTAGATGAAATTTGTATAGTAGCGGTACTACAAGCAATGAGTTATATTTAGAAGTCAGTGCTCTCAATCAGAAAATGAGTTTTGCAACTGCAATAATTGATTTCTTTTGAGCCTTGCTAAAATAATATTCCTTTTTTTTTTATATGGCACAAGTCAATTGGTTGAAACCATCATGAAAAAAGAGGTGTAGAGAAAGAATAAGGGTTTAAACCTTAGCCATATTGATGAGGAAGCGCCTCCTTGGTAATAGTTTGACTAATTACCCTACTAACATTCCTTAATAATATTGCCTTCTAACTTATTCGCTATCTCCAAATTCTCCACTATTTAAAAAAAAATTGTCTATTTCTTTTTCAAGTTGAAGCCAAAAACATTGTTTGAAGTATTTTAACTCCTGGCACAAGAACTAAAAATTTAATCAATGTGCATTGTGTAAGTGCTTGATTATCGTTTGTACACTTGTGTAATAATATAAACTCTTTTCGCCAATAAATATAATTAAAAATAAAATTATTTCAAATTATATTTTTTTAAGAAAAATTAAGGATTAACATACGTATCCATTTCCTTAGCTTATCTTGAACGATGCCAACACTACTAGCTGGAGCACTTCTTGGTTTGATGGGGAACGCCTTCACTCGTGTAGCTTCACTTACAAATTACAATCAATATACATGGCAATTGAACGACTTGTACACAATCAAGGTACTTTGTAGAAGAACTAAAAAAATTAGAAACGCAAATGATGGTGCACACAAGGAAAAAATCTAGAAAAATCATAAAGACAAAAGAAAATGATTGATACATCCTCTAGTTCAACATCTTTTACAATATTTATCGGTTCAATCATTAAAATCTATAGTTTTTAGTTTTCTTGCTATTAATTCAAATTTAAAAATAATAATTTTTTAATGAATGTGTTATAAAGGGTGTTGAACCAAAAGAAAACTTTCTTTTTGACCAAGGGAGTATAAATATGATTGGTAGAAGACTTAAAATAAATTTTAGGTATTTTGCATTGTATATCTTTCTTCTACCAATTTGTGATTATTGTGCTTTAATTTGAAATTTTGATCATTCAATCATCTTTAGTTATAATCCTCTACTTGTTTTCTTTGAGAGTTATCTTTGAGGTGTGATTATTCTTTCAAAAGTGATTTGTAATGAGGATTGTTGAGGTTGTTTTGTAAAAGGGTGAAATTTGTAAGAAAATCCATTGTCTTGTAAAGGGATTTAGTGGCTCATTTAAGCCGTCCTTGTTCTTGTTAGTGGAGAGTGTACAGAAAATCCTTGACAAATGAAGTCAAGGTAAAAGATTAGGTGCTAAATGGTTGAACCAAATTTCTATAACATTATTGTGCAAGTTTCTCTTCTCTACTCTCTTTGATTATCCTTGATAAATGAAGTCAAGGTAAAAGATTAGGTGCTAAATGGTTAAACCGAATTTCTATAACATTATTGTGTAAGTTTCTCTTCTCTACTCTCTTTGATTTTTTGCTTTGTGGTTGCAAAAGGAAAGAAATTTTAGAACTTCAATTCATCTCCTTTTTGGAGTGCATTGAGCCAACAGTGTGGACTCTAAATTTTATTTTATTTAGTTTATCTTGAATAGTTATATTATCATTTAAGTTATTTTTTGTTATTGTGGATTACTTTTAAGTGAAAATGAGACAGTTAAGGAAAATATAGATAATATGAAAGATGAAAAATATTCAATATGTCATTTCACAAAATATTCACTATAACTTTTTGTTTTACATTTTTAAGTAGTTTTCTTTTACTCATTATATTTGTTCATTTTGTCCTTCAATTGATGCCACTAATTTATTATTAACGACTAATAAATTTTGTTTATAATAATTTTTTTAAAAATTTTCTTCTTTATCGACTTTTCAATATACACACAAACACATCATTTCTTAGTCAATATTTTATTCCCCCTAAAAAATATATTTGGCTCCGTTACTTCAGGTTATTAGGTACTCTTAACATGATGATTTATTGATATGCATGTGATCTTAAACTTAAAATCATTATACTCTAATATAAGCTGGAAATGATAAACAACCTGACGCAAAAAACACTGTGAAAGTAATTTGAAACACAGTCTAAATCAACTCAAAAGAACAAATTGGTAAAAAGAAAGAAAGATGGCGATACACAAAAAACTCAATTTTTTAGGGTATAAGAGTTGTGAGGAGTCTAATATTAAATTTGCTTTTGGCCAACTAATTAAATATATAAAAAGAAAACTTATCTTTCAAATTAAAGAGAAAAAACAATACTTACATTTATATATCCAGCGTCCCCAAGATCCAAGCTCATTTATACTTAAGAATGGTGGTGCAGTTTGAGCAAGTGTTAAAACGATTGGAGTGGAATTCCAAGGGTGTCTAAAGGCCCAGTCTGGAAAATCGTGGAGTAGATCCAACGCAATATCTGTTATTTACATATATATATATATATATATATGTATGAAAGTTTGTTAAATAGGAGAAAAACTACAACAGTATACACCCTTTGTCTAAGATTAATAGATTTTTTCTTATTTAGAATTTGTTTTAAAATAATTATAGTCACTTTAAGCGGTACAAAAAAATTTTTATTAAATGTTAATTTTGGTTTCTCAAATATGAAAATTGCTCTTTTTTTATCCTTTTATCTCTTTTGTCCATTAGATTTGCACAGTTGACATTTTTTTGCCCTAAACTCTTGTTTTATGAACATTTAGGTCACTAAAGAAAATTATGAAAATTCCAGCTAGTCATACTTAACAGATAAACTTGACGTAAAAACAAAAAAAAGTACAATTTCATATTTAAGCGAGGAAAACAATGCAAAAAATAATTTGAAGACTAAAATTGTTAAAAATGAAAGTTAATGGACTAAATTTACCATTTTACTTTAATCTTATCATTATCTCTTGAATTTATATTATAAAATAGTCTCTTTATTTTATTTTATTTTTTAAAAGTAATGTAAGTAAGATATAAATTGTTCTAAAATCTCTAACCTAAAGATAAAAATTTAAAACTATCTATTAATCTAAGATAGAAGGAGTATATGGCAATTAAGGAGAAGAAGAATTGTAGAACTCTTTACCAAACATTCCTTTGGTTATACAGCGCTCTAGGAGGAAGAAGCCAGGGTCTCCCCCTAGAAAATCAAGTGGAATCTCCGTATAGAGGTAGCGTGCCATTTTCTTCCGGCCACAAGTAATTGCATGCTTAAGAGCAGAGTCTAATATTTGCGGAGATATTATATTCCGATTGTCATGTAAGAACCGCTTTAGCTCGGAAACGGACTCACAGCAAACTAACTTCTGCAACGTTTCTTGCTGCTCTGCCGATAATGGTTGTACTGCCAATAATGGTTGTAAGAAATTATCGTTTGTATTAAAAATTTGAAGTCATGGTATCAACCTATTTCTTCAAAATGCATTTAAAAGAAAAAAAATTTTTTTATTTGACCCTTTTTTAGCTCTCCTATAATCAAAACCTAGATCCCAAGACAAGATCTCAATGCCACACACGACTTCAACAAACATCAAAAACTAAGCTATAGAATGCTACCCAATATTTTAAGAGAAGGACCAGTGGCCACACCGTTTTGGCTATTGGTTCGGGCTCAACTAGTTGGATCCATCAAACCAAATGGTCCAAACAGTTGACTAAACAAAATAATCAATTATAAAATTATCTTGCCTTAACTTATTTTATTTTAAAATTGATTGAGGTAATTATTTTTTTTATGAGAGATTGAGATCATTTTTGTAATAATTAATAAATTAAAGTGGCAATTATTTTTAAATTAATTTTATTTTCAAAATTTAATACATTCCCAAAATTGATTAATTTCAAATGCTTAAATTTATCAAAATGCCTAATATATTTTTAATTTATTATCCATATAAAGACTAAAACATTAGTTTTGTATTAATTATAAAATTAATTTTTACTTTATTGGTTTTATTTTCAATTTTAAACATGATTAATTTTAATTTCAAATTGATTTCATTCATTTCATTTACTAAAGTAGTCATTTATTTTCAAAAATTTTATTCTCAAAAGTCAAAAATGATTTGATTTGATTTCAAATTAATTTCATCCTCTAAGATGAAATAATAATTTAGTTTCCAATTGATTTTATTTTCAAAACTAATTCAAGTTACATTTAAATTGATTTCAAATTTTCATCCATACTAATTTGACTTTAAAATTTAATTTGATTTACAATTTAATCATCATATTATCTAAAAATAGTATATATAAAAACTAAATAAAAATTATAAAAAGAAAAAATATATATATAAAAACTAAGAAAAGCAGCCGATTTGGATTTTACCAGTTTCGACCA